AATCATAACTATTTCGCTAGAACTCCATTTTTCCTATCGAATGAGTACAAGAAACCACCCATTTACCGATTTCAACTATCCAATACAGTGGTCAGAATTTAGCAATTTTGCCAATTTCACACAAATTTCAAAAGATGCCAATTTCTAAATAGGGTCCAGAATAAACAAGACATTCCTGGCACTAAAATAACATTTCCTCCGTTCATTAGTCACATCCCCATGCCCCTCTTACATTCTTTTGCTTTCCACTTTGAATTTTTATTCTCACAAAAAAATAGAAGATTTACTGTTATGTAGACTACTGCATTAGTGTAGAAATGGTATAAATAATATCGGCACACTTGTGAAAGAATATTAGACTCACCAGTTGACGTGTATTGGATGCTTAGCATGATTTGTTTACTTTTGAACTTTGGTAAAAATCGAACATTTCTGCTACTTCGAGCTCAATTTCAAAGTACAGTGGACCCCCGCTTAACGATCACCTCCAAATGCGACCAATTATGTAAGTGTATTTATGTAAGTGCGTTTGTACGTGTATGTTTGGGGGTCTGAAATGGACTAATCTACTTCACAATATTCCTTATGGGAAAAAATTCGGTCAGTACTGGCACCTGAACATACTACTGGAATGAAAAAAGTTCGTTAACCGGGGGTCCACTGTACTTTTCATTGTAAAACCGGTCAAAATCATCTAAATTTCTGTAATATGTCTTCCATTCTATAAAATGAGACCAGGAAAACTAGAATACAACAATAAATACCATACGAAAATACAGTGCAAAGTCGCTGTTTTAATCCAAAAACATGGTCAAAGTTTTTTTTTCTCATTACGCACTGTGTGCTGCAGGATTTTTTTTATACTGTGCACACTGACCACATAGACCCATTCTTTCATATGTAGGCCTACCAGCTTTCTCTCACCAGATTTGAGGGCGCTAGAATTTAGGCATACTAGTACGTCAAAAACCCTGGTGCGTAAGCCGTACTAGTACGTCCGAAACTCTGAAAGGGCTAAAATGCAGGCATTGTACTTCCCATTTCCAGTACTCAAGTCTGGCTATATAAAAATAACCAGTTTCCCTGAATCCCTTCACTAAATATTACCCTGCCTGCACTCCAACAGCTCGTCAGGTCCCAAAAACCATTCGTCTTCGTTCACTCCTATCTAACATGCTCACACACTCTTGCTGGAAGTCCAAGCCCCTCGCCCACATAACCTCCTTTACCCCCTCCCTCCAACCTTATCGAGGACGACCCCTACCCCGCCTTCCTTCCCCTAATAGAGATTACATTAGAAGTTTTATTTTGACAAATTACATGGTTGTACAGAGGAATATAATAGATGGGTGTACATGCCAAAAGCCCCTCTGTATGCTGAGTATTTCAGGCAAACTTAGGGATTAACTTAAGAATAGTAAGGCAATAATACATAGTTCATATGGTCATTAGATGAGATAGTGAGTACAGGAGAATTTAATATTATATCAAGTGATGCTACAGTATTAACATTATATCAGGTGATTACAGTATTACAATGTAACAATTTAAAACAATTTAGTGTGATGTATTACAGTTTAGTACTATTTAAAACAATGAAATTTGGTATTACAATGGAACAATTTACATTATGATGCACTGTATTACAATCTACTACTATTTAAAACAGTGAAAAGAACAGACATCCTAATCTCAAAGTAGTAAGTGGTTGAGCATTCATCAGCACAATATGAGTAGCTTTTGAGAAACTGGTAGTGGTTAGGTATGGTTTGTCTGGTTAATTTTGGGTGATGAGGTGATTTCTTATTTGGGCCTTAAACTGATTTGCAGTCAGGGGTCCTTTAGTTTGTTCTGGCAATGAATTCCAGATCTTCGGGCCTTTTACGTGCATAGCATTTCTGCATAGGAAGAGATGAACACGGGGAATATTGAAGAGTGATCTGTGTCTCGTATTATGGTTGTGTGTTCTGTTATAGTTATCAGGGAGGAGTTTGAGAGGAGGGTTTACATTAGTGTATAGTGTTCTGTGTGTGTAGTAGGCACAATAATAAGTGTGGATGTTTTGTATATTTAGTAAGTTAAGACTCTTGAAAAGTGGTGGAATGTGTTGTCTAATGCAGGAGTTAGTAATCAATTGCACTGCAGCTTTTTGCTGGGTTATTATAGGCTTAAGGTGATTTGCTGGGTTATTAAAGGCTTAAGGTGATTTGCTGTGGTTGAGCCCCATGCACAAATACCATAGGGAAGGTAAGGGTAAATGAGAGAGTGGTACAAAGCTAGAAGAGCTGATTGGGGTACATAATACTGTATCTTTGAAAGGATGCCTACTGTTTTGGAGATTTTCCTGGAAATTTGCTGTATTTGTGTCTGAAATTTGAGACTGCAGTCGAGAAGGAGACCTAGAAATTTGCCCTCTGCCTGTCTCAAGATAGGTGAACCATTCATCAATATGTTTAGCTGTACATTTGAAGCTCTGTTTCCGAAAAGCATGAAGTAGGTTTTGTCAATATTGAGAGTAAGTTTCTTGCTTATCATCCAAGTAGATATTTTTAGCAGTTCAGCATTTACTGTGTCTGTTAGTATGATTGCATTTGGGTGAGAAATGACATAAGTTGTGTCATTTGCAAATAAAATGAGTTTAACCCTTTCAGGGTCCGTCCTGTAGATCTACGGCTTTACGTTCAGGGTCCAAACCGTAGTTCTACGTCATGAGCTCAGCTCACTCTGATAAACTGTGAGTGGTAAATTTGGGCCTAGATATGAGAGAATACATCTATGTGGTATGTGTGCACCACATAAAACAAATCCTTCAGCACACTGTGTATAATGAGAGAAAAAAACTGAGACCGTGATTTTCGATTAAAACAGCGACTTTGCAGTGTTTTCTCGTATGTTTTTTATAGTTGTATTTGTGATTTCTTGGTCTCATTTGATAGAATGGAAGACATATCACAGAAATAGAGATAATTTTGATTGGTGTTAGCACTGGAAATGGCTTGAAACTGAGCTCAAAGTGGCGGAAATGTTAAATTTTTGCCGATGTTCAAGAGTAAACAAACGACCTCACACATCTTATACACGCCAGCTGGTGGGTCTAATATACATTCACAAATGTGGTGATGATATTTATACAATTATTACAATATTGCATAACAGTAAATCTTCTACTTTTTGGTGTGAATAAAAATTCATTATGTGAATAAAAATTCAAAATGGAATTTATTTGTAAAGCCTCAAAACATAACTAATGAAGAGAGGAAATGTTAGTTTAGTGCCAGGAATACCTACATTGTTTATTCTGGACCCTATTTTGAAATTGGAATATTTTGAACTTTGTGTTAAATTGGCCAAATTACCAATTTCCAGTCACTTTATTTTGTAGTTGAAATGGTTGACTTGGCGATTTCTTGTGCTCAATCGATAGAATAGAAGTAATACTAGTGAAATAGCTAAGAATTTGGTCGACTGGAATACATGTAATGTAATTGGCCTAAAATGGGAGTCAAAGTCGGCAAAATCGCCGATTCGTAAATATCGCTGACACATCAAAATTCACGAGAGCATAATTTCGTCAATTTTCCATCAAATTTCTTACTTTTTGTTTTATTACCTTCACAAAAAGATTCTCTACCATTTCATAAGAAAAAATAAAAATTTTTTTTTTTTGAAAATTCTTGGACACTGGGGCACCACTTCAGATTTTGGCCTTGGACCCTGAAAGGGTTAAGGAGATTAGATGCATTTGGTAGGTCATTGATGTAAACGAGAAAGAAAAGTGGGCCAAGAATGCTCCCCTGTGGGACTCCAACAAGAACAGGTTGTGTAGTGGAACAGGCTCTATCTGTGTATAGATTTATACACTCTCCATTTCATTCTACTTTGATCCATTCTCTCTAAATGACTAAACCACCTCAACAACCCAAATTTCTTTTTTCTAACCAAGGGTCCTAAGAAAGTAAGTGTAAAGGACAGTGCTGAGAAAGAGGATGATTTCCATGGAATTAAAGCATGAAATCATAGATAAACAAGCAAGGTGTGGGGTTGTGGGTTGAGGGGGAAGCTCGCTCATAACTCAGAGCAAAAAATTGATTGAGTGACAACTCGTATCTCGAAAAACTCGTATGTTGGGACACTTGTAAGATGAGGTTCCACCGTATCAGTAAAACAGCAAGACGTTTACGAGACAGGAAAAAGACACCAGCAATCCTACCGTCATGTAAAATAATTACAGGATTTTTTTTACACTCACTTGACAAGACGGTAGTACCTACCTCCCTAGGCGGTTGCTGTTTACCAACCTATTACCTAGGTTGAAGTTTAAATATTGGTAAAATGTATTTGAAGAAGATAAAGAAAATATAGGACTGTAGGGATACAGTAGGCCCATGTGAATGTGCTAGAGCAGTGTAAGTAGACACTATTTAACAGAATTCAGCCTGCTGTTGAAGTCTGAACACGGTAATATCTGTGAAAGAACACAGGGAAATCAACCAGAAGACTGTTCTGGAGGTTGTAATAAAGTGCATGCACTGATTAAGTGATGTGGTGATATAAAGGTTCAGTGGGTAAACACTAGATTGCAATGTTTGCCCTTCTGGAAAGAAGCTATTGAGTGGGAAAAGGAGAATGCATTTTCTTTGCTTAAACAGAATTTGCTAGAAAAAGTCAGTTAAAAGGAGTAAGAAGTGTGATTAAATTATTTTGAGCAATCTTTAAATCAAAATTAATGTTGTATTTCATCTTATCTGGCTAAATTAATCATTATATACTCGGGAAATTTTTCCATGTGGAAGTGGAACAGAATTCTTCCTCCGTAAACCATGTGTGTCGTAAGAAGCGACTAACATGCCGGGAGCAAGGGGCTAATAACCCCTTCTCCTGTATATATTACTAAATTTAAAAGGAGAAACTCTCATTTTTCCTTTTGGGTCACCCTGCCTCAGTGGGATACAGCCAGTTTGTTGAAAGAAGAAAGATTATGATTAATAGATTTATTTTACCTTGAGATCGTTAGACGAAAGGTGTAAATCTGTGAGCATAACACAATTCTCCAGTTCACCAGCTACCCAGTCAACCTTGTTCTTCGAAGCATCAACATGAACCAGTTTTTTCAGTCGGCCCAGCAAAGGAGGAAGTGATTTCACCTTGTTATTGTCAAACCATAGTTCAGTCAAGCTTCCTAAACTGCCAATCACCTCAGGCTGAAAAAAACAAAAATAAATTTAATTTAAACTGAATATTAATATTGCATTTATGGATTTAGAAAAGGCATATGATAGAGTGGATAGGGGAGCAATGTGGCAGATGTTGCAAATACAGTGGACCCCCGGTTCATGATATTAATCCGTTCCTGAGAGCTCATCGTAAACCAAAATTATCGGAAAGCGAATCAATTTTCCCCATAAGAAATAATGGAAATCAAATTAATCCGTACAAGACACCCAAAAGTATAAAAAAAAAAAAAAATTACCACATGAAATATTAATTTTAATACACACAAACTGAAGAAGACATGCACAGTTACATGACACTTACCTTTATTGAAGATCTGGTGATGATTGATGGGATGGGAGGAGGGGAGAGTGTGGATGGTCTTAGTGTTTAGAAGGGAAATCCCCTTCCATTAGGACTTGAGGTGGCAAGTCCTTTTCTGGGCTTACTTCCCTTCTTCTTTTAATGCCGCTAGGACCAGCTTGAGTCACTGGACTTCTGTCGCACAACATATCTGTCCATAGAGGCCTGTACCTCTCGTTCCTTTATGACTTTCCTAAAGTGTTTCACAACATTGTCAGTGTAATAGTCACCAGCATGGCTTGCAATAGCTGTGTGAGGGTGATTTTCATCACCCTTTTCACAAATGATCGCTTGAGAGATGCTATCTCCTGCTATCTGTTTTTCATTTATCCACACCAATAACAGTCTCTCAACATTTTTTAACACTTGCGGTCGCTGTTTCGTAATCACAGTTGCACCTTTTGCAAGAACAGCTTCCTTGATTGCCGTTTTCCTGCTCACTATAGTAGAGATGGTTGATTGGGGTTTACTATACAACCTGACCAGTTCCGACACACACACTCCACTTTCGAACTTTGCAATTATCTCTTTCTTCATTTCAACAGTCATTAGCACCCTTGGTCTCGAAGGGTTGGCACTAGGACCTTTCTTGGGGCCCATGGTGACTTATTTTGCAGAAACAAGCACCAAAAACAGTGATAACATGGATAATATGGAATGTACCAAATGTATCCTTAGATGCGCGCACACTGGCTGGCTTGTAAACACTGGTACACACAGGGGAGTTCAGGCCACAAGTGGACACGTCTCGTACAAATCGTATCGTATACCGGGTTTTGTATCGGGAAGCGAGGCAAAATTTTTTCGATCAAATGCATCGGCAACCGAATTTATCGGATACCGGTAACATCGGGAACCGGGGGTCCACTGTATATGGAATAGGTGGTAAGTTACTAAACGCTGTAAAGAGTTTTTATGAGGAAAGAGAGGCTCAGGTCAGGGTGTGTAGAAGAGAGGGAGACTACTTCCCAGTAAAAGTAGGTCTTAGACAGGGATGTGTGATGTCACCATGGTTGTTTAATATATTTATAGATGGATTGTAAAAGAAGTAAATGCTAGGGTGCTCGAGAGAGGGGTGGGATTAAATTATGGGGAATCAAATACAAAATGGGAATTGACTCAGTTACTCTTTGCTGATGATACTGTGCTTATGGGAGATTCTAAAGAAAAATTGCTAAGGTTAGTGGATGAGTTTGGGAATGTGTGTAAAGGTAGAAAGTTGAAAGTGAACATAGAAAAGAGTAAGGTGATGAGGGTATCAAATGATTTAGATAAAGAAAAATTGGATATCAAATTGGGGAGGAGGAGTATGGAAGAAGAGAAGAGTAGAGGAGAGAGAGAGAGGTTTTGGGAAATGTTGAGTGTGTGGGGTTTTCAACCAAGTGTGAGAGTACTTGTGGTTGGGGGACTTCAATGCTAAAGTGGGTAAAAAATGTTGTAGAGGGAGTAGTAGGTAAATTTGGGGTGCCAGGGGTAAATGAAAATGGGGAGCTTTTAACTGAGCTATGTGTAGAAAGAGGTTTGGCAATAAGTAATACATATTTTATGAAAAAGCGGATAAATAAACATACAAGATATGATATAGCACATAATGAAAGTAGTTCGTTAGATTATATATTGGTGGACAAAAAGTTGATGGGTAGGCTTCTGGATGTACATGTTTACAGAGGGGCAACTGATATATCAGATCATTATTTTGCTGTAGCTACAGTTAGAGTGAGAGGTAGATGGGGCAAAAGGAAAATGGCAACAAGTAAGAGAGAGGTGAAAGTGTATAAACTAAGGGAGGAAGAAGTTCGGGTGAGATATAAGCAACTATTGGCAGAAAGGTGGGCCAGTGCAAGTATGAGTAGTGGGGGGGGGGGGGTTGAAGAGGGTTGGAATAGTTTTAAAAAAGCATGTGGGGCAGAGGTTTGTGGCTATAAGAGGGTGGGTGCAGGAAAGAGGAGTGATTGGTTGAATGATGAAGAAAAGGGTGTGATAGAAGAGAAAAAAGGTAGCTTATGAGAGGTTTTTACAAAGCAGAAGTGTTATAAGAAGAGCAGAGTATATGGAGAGTATAAGAAAGGTGAAGAGAGTGGTGAGAGAGTGTAAAAGGAAAGCAGATGATAGAGTGGGAGAGGCACCATCAAGAAATTTTGATGAAAATAAGAAAAATTTTTGGAGTGAGATAAACAAGTTAAGAAAGCCTAGGGAACGAATGGATTTGTCAGTTAAAAACAGAGTAGGGGAGGTATTGGGTAGATAGCAGGAATATTTTGAGGAACTTTTAATGTCAACGAAGAAAGAGAGGAGGTAATTTCATGCACTGGCCAGGGAGGTCTACCATCTTTTAGGAGTGAAGAAGAGCAGGATGTGAGTATGGGGGAGGTGCATAAGGCATTACCTAGAATGAAAGGGGGTAAAGCAGCTGGAACTGATGGGATCATGGTAGAAATGTTAAAAGCAGCGGAGGATATAGTGGTAGAGAGGCTGGTATTTCTGTTTAATAAATGTATGAAAGAGGGTAAGGAACCTAGGGATTGGCAGAGAGCAGACATAATTCCTTTATATAAAGGGAAGGGGGACAAAAGAGATTGTAAAAATTATAGAGGAATAAGTTTACTGAGTTCTAGGTAGTAACTTGGTAGACAGCAACTGCCCAGGGAGGTAGTACCATCCTGCCAAGTGAGTGTAAAATGAAAGCCTGTAATTGTTTTACATGATGGTAGGATTGCTGGTGTCCTTTTTTCTGTCTCATAAACATGCAAGATTTCAGGTACGTCTTGCTACTTCTACTTACACTTAGATCACACTACACATACATGTACAAGCATATATATACACACCCCTCTGGTTTTTCTTCTATTTTCTTTCTAGTACTTGTTCTTGTTTATTTCCTCTTATCTCCATGGGGAAGTGGAACAGAATTCTTCCTCCGTAAGCCATGCGTGTTGTAAGAGGCGACTAAAACGCCAGGAGTAAAGGGCTAGTAACCCCTTCTCCTGTATAAATTACTAAATTTAAAAAGAGAAACCTTCGTTTTTCTTTTTGAGTCACCCTGCCTTGGTGGGATATGGCCGGTTTGTTAAAAAAAAAAAAAAAGTTTACTGAGTACTGTATACCAGGAAAAGTGTATGGTAGGGTTATTATTGAAAGAATTAGAGGCAAGACAGAATGTAGGATTGCAGATAAACAAGGAGGTTTTAGAGTGGGTAGGGCATGTGTAGATCAAGTGTTTACAATGAAGCATATATGTAAACAATATTTAGACAAAGGTAGGGAAGTTTTCATTGCATTTATGGATTTAGAAAAGGCATATGATAGAATGGATAGGGGAGCAATGTGGCAAATGTTGCAAGTATATGGAATAGGTAGTAAGTTACTAAATGCTGTAATGAGTTTTTATGAGGATAATGAGGCTTAGGTTAGGGTGTGTAGAAGAGAGGGAGACTACTTCCTGGTAAAAGTAAGTCTTAGGCAGTGATGTGAAATGTCACCAAGGTTGTTTAATATATTTAGAGATGGGATTGTAAATGGGAAAGTAAATGCTAGTGTGTTGGGGAGAGGAGTGGGATTAAATTATGGATAAACAAATAGGTAGTAGGTTGGTAGACAGCAACCACCCAGGGAAGTACTACCGTCCTGCCAGATGACTGTGAAACAAAAACCTGTAACTGTTTTGCATGATGGTAGGATTGCTGGTTTCTTTTTCTGTCTCATAAACACGCTAAGATAACAGGGATATCTTGCTACTCCTACTTACACTTTGGTCACACTTCATAGACACGCACATGCATATATATATATACATACATCTAAGTTTTTCTCCTTTTTCTAAATAGCTCTTGTTCTTTTTTATTTCTTCTATTGTCCATGGGAAGTGGAAAAGAATCTTTCCTCCGTAAGCCATGCGTGTCGTATGAGGCGACTAAAATGCCGGGAGCAATGGGCTAGTAACCCCTTCTCCTGTATACAATTACTAAAAAAGAGAAGAAGAAAAACTTTATAAAACTGGGTTGCTTAAATGTGCGTGGATGTAGTGCGGATGACAAGAAACAGATTGATTGCGATGTTATGAATGAAAAAGAAGTTGGATGTCCTGGCCCTAAAACGAAACAAAGCTGAAGGGGGTAGGAGAGTTTCAGTGGGGGGAAATAAATGGGATTAAATCTGGAGTATCTGAGAGAGTTAGAGCAAAGGAAGGGGTGCAGTAATGTTAAATGATCAGTTATGGAAGGAGAAAAGAGAATATGAATGTGTAAATTCAAGAATTATGTGGATTAAAGTAAAGGTTGGATGCAGAAGTGGGTCATAATAAGCATGTTGCACCTGGAGAAGAGAGGAATGCAGAGGAGAGAGAGAGATTTTGGGAGATGTTAAGTGAATGTATAGGAGCCTTTGAACCCAAAGTGAGAGAGTAATTGTGGTAGGGACTTGAATGCTAAAGTAGGAGAAAACTTTTAGAGAGGGTGTGGTAGGTAAGTTTGGGGTGCCAGGTGTAAATGATAAGGGGAGCCCTTTGATTGAACTTTGTATAGAAAGGGGTTTAGTTATAGGTAATACATATTTTAAGAAAAAGAGGATAAATAAGTATACACGATATGATGTAGGGCGAAATGACAGTGTTTGTTGGATTATGTATTGG